TTTTGAAACATAACTAGTTACAGTTACTAATTACATTGGCAAAAACATAACTAGTTACAGTTACTAGTTACATTTTTACAAAAGTAACTAGTTATTAGTTACAGTTATTTTCAAAAGTAATTAGTTACTTACTTTATACATCATTCATATGCGCATTTATTTATTGAATGCATTTATTTAATATAAAAAAAATTAGGATAAACAAAGTATAATCAGTTATTTAAAATAATATACAATTTATTTATATAAAAAAATATCGCAAAATTGAATATTTACATCGAAGATAAAAATATATATTTGCATTGAAAAAAAAACATTTATTTTTCATAAAAATTAGAATCTAATAAATTTTTATTTGCTTTTAACAACAAATTAATTTCAAGTTATTATCTAGGAGACGTGCTCGTTTATCTCCAAAAATGAGCTTACCTAGACTGAACAAGCGCTCTACGGGAGCACTTGATGTTAGAACAACATTATATTTAATAAAGAGTAATTTTAACTTTGGAAAATCGTTATATAAAGAAAAAGTGTTGTTATTAGATTTGATAAAGTTTTCTATAAGTTTATTATCCAGAATATTTTGTCGCTTTAGGTCAAAAAATCCAACTACATCAAGTGATGTTGGTTTTGAGCATGATTCATTCGTCTGGGATTCACTTTGAGGTATTAAGGTAAATTTGAACGGGAAATTATAACAATCAGACATTTTCACAAAATTTTAAATTAATAAATTTAATTTAAAAAATAAATTTAATTTAAAATTAATTTATCACAACATATTAAAAATAAAATTAATTATTTGAATATATCTTTAGAAATAACTAGTTAATTTTGGCAGTTACATTTCAAAAATTATAACTAGTTACAGTTACTAGTTACAATTTAAAAAATATACTTAACATCACTAATTTTTACCCATATATCAAAAAAGTTTAAAAATAACGATTATGACAATTGTCACTTATCTAGGGTACATCTTAACTGAAATTTTATTTTAACATGTTTGCAATACTTATTTTAGCCCATTTACGTCAAAAAATTCAAAAAGTTATAAAATAACGATTATGAAAATTGTCACTTTTCTATGGTACATCTTCATGAAGTTTTGATTTAACATGTTTACAATCTATATTTTTACCCATTTACAACAAAAGAATTCAAAATAAACAACGATTACGACAATTGTAACTTATCTACGGTACATCTTCACTGAAATTTTATTTAAACATGTTAGCAATACTTATTTTAGCCCATTTACGTCAAAAAAATTATAAAATAACGATTATGACAATTGTCACTTATCTATGGTACATTTTCATGAAATTTAATTTAACATGTTTACAATCTATATTTTTACCCATTTACGTTAAAAAAGTTTAAAAGTAATGATTATGATAATTGTCACTTATCTAGGGTACATCTTCACTGAAGTTTTATAAAAATAACGATTATGACAATTGTCACTTTTCAATGGTAGATCTTCATGAAATTTTAATTTAGCATGTTAAAAGTACATATTTTTGCCCATTAGCGTTATAAAAATCTAATATGTTTAAAAATACCGATTATGATAATTGCCACATTTCCAAGGAACATCTTCATTGAATTTATAATTTAACATCTTTACAAATAAATGATATTATATTTTTACCCGTTTGAGTCAAAAAATTTCAAAAATCTTAAAAATAACGAATATGACAATTGTCACATTAAAATATTATCCTTAAAAAGATCATAAAATAACATAAATAAGTTAAATATAAATATTTAGAAATAAATTATTTAGAAAACTCACCTTTTTTAATAAATAAATATACTTAAGAAATAGATAATTTTACAAAAATGATAAAAAAAACTAAAAGATTTCACCTAAAAATTGTATATTTATTTATAATCAATTTCACAAAAGAATCCCTCAAAAAAGATATATTTACAAAGAAGATTTAAAATTTATTATTAAAAAAAATTCCCAGGCAAAGTCCAAAGCCATATTAATTATGAAAAATTCTTCCAAGCCCAATGAAAGATCATAATAATTTTGGTAGTTAAGAACTGAAATAAAATATTTAAATAATCATAATGAATTTAAAAATACAATCAAAATTCAGATTGGTTTTTTTATCAGGGCAAGCCGGCCTGCAAAAAAATTTGTTTTGGGCCAATGTCTGACCTATAATTAATAATAAAAAAATTCTCAAGCGTCCAAGCTCATAATAATTTTGAAAAATTTTCCCCAAGCCCAGCCCAATATAATTTATAAAAATATTTTCCAAGCCCAGCCCAGCCCAACCCATAATAATTTTATAAAAAAAATTTCTCAAACCAGGCCAACCGATAGTAATTTAAATTTTTTTTCCAAGCCTGGAGATAGGTAAATCTCTAAAAATCATATCAATTTTAGTCTATTTTAACCCAGCTCACCCCAACCAAGGCCAACCCATTAAGACTAAGAGTGAATACTATTTTTTGGAATAAAAATATATTTAAATATGATTTTACCTGAGGGCCATATAAATATTCTGTGTATATTACACCTATGCCTAATATTAAAAAAATTCCCAAGCCAGGTCCTCGCACTTGGTTTTCTCAAACCCGTAAAAGACCATAATAATTTTGATAGTTGAGGACTGAAATAAAATATATAAAAAGTCACAATGCATTTAAAAATACAATCAGAATATGAAAGTTGCATGGGTCTTGGTTTTTATCAGGCCTTGCCATGTCTTCAAAAGAAATTTTCAGGCCAATTTCTAGCCCATATTTAAAATTAAAAAATTTACAGGAATCTTAGACTATAATAATTATGACAAATGTTTCTCAAGCTATGTCCAAGCAGGGTTTCATGATCAAAATACATTATATCTTGGGTCGAGATATATAGCTGAGCAAAAAACTTCATTTTTCAAATTAATCTCTCGTGCTTTGATTGTACAAACTAAAAGTTTGGCAAATGAAGTGTCTATTTTGCTAGTTTGCATGATACATTTGATCCATGCTGCATAAAAATCGCCCATGGTCATTTGTTCACTTTATATATATTTTGTCAAAATATAAGATGGATATAAAACTTTTAATATATCACTAATTATTTTCCATTCATTCTCTGACAAACATTTTTCACGATCATTACTTTGGGCCGATATTTCTTGGCAAAAGTTTTTTAACTCTAATAATCTTTCCAACATTAAATAGATTGAATTCCATCTTGTGCAACAATCTATTAGTGGCTTTTTTAAATTTAATTTGGACAAAATAGACATTGTAGTCTGATTTCTTATTTTTTTGCAAATGTTTCTTGCTTTATTAATAATAACAATTTCATTTGAATTTTTTATGCAATCATTAATTGCTAATTGAAATGTGTGGGAGGCACATCTAATGCCCATTAACATGGATCTCGTATGAGGTACAAGATTAATACTTTCAATATTAAAAAAAGGTTCTTCATTTTTATTAACAATTATATCATCATTGTTATTTAAATTATCATTATCTAAATAATCATTAAGGATATCATCTTCATCATCTTCTTCATCATGATGTATTAACAGCTTGATTAATTTAATCATGTTAGCTGCATTGTCTGTGGTTATCGTATAAATTTGATCAATTCTTATTTCATGTTCGTTTAGAACATCTAAAATAATTTTTTTTAGATATTCTGATGTATGTCTTTCTTTTATCTCTTTCATGCATAACGTTCTTAATTTTATTTCTCCATTATCTATAAATTGAATATTGATCCCCAGTATGGACCTATCATATCGAGTTGCAATATCTAATTTTAACGATATAAGTTTTTGGTATATTTCTTTTTTTAAATTTTGCGAAAAATCAAATGCCATTTTTTTAATATTATTGCGTATATTTTCAGAATTGATGGTTAAATTACCACCCAATCCTACAATTATCGGGTCTATAATATTTCTAAATGCTTTGTCATCAATTGATTTTATTGGTCTCCCATGAACTGTGATTAACTCAGTGCAGGAGCGGATTAAAGTGTCTTTATTAATATTAATTTGTATTGTATTAGTTTTGGTAAAAGCATTTTGAATTGTATTATGATTATTTGCATTTTTTGTTATTGTTTTTTTAATAGTCAAATTATCTTCTTTTTTTTAAATAATTTGAATTCCTTATCGTGGAATCTTTCTATATGTCGTTCAAGATTTGCTGCATGGTCCCCGGTTAAAACTTTACTACAGTTTTCTAGTTTACAAGTAGATTGATTTTTTACAATATCTAATTTAAAATATGATCGCACAGGATTTGACTTTTCCCGAACCATTTAATAGATACTAATATGCTATATGATGATGAATAGATCAGAATCTTTTATTATAAAAATATAATAAATAAATTTCTTAATAGAATCAGTATAATTTTTTATTTATCTTATCTGACAAGATCTCCCCCAAAAACGTGAATTATATGCAGGCCTACCCTTCATATAATTATGCCGATTTTTTCCTCAAAGATACTAACAACAAACCTTGTACACAGATGAAACTAAATAAGTGAATGGAGCTTACTAATACCATTTTAATAAATAATTTGATTTAATAGAGAAAAGAAAGAAGCAAAAAGATAAGATATAAAATAAGAAGAAAAGAAATAGAAAAGCTGTTTAAAATTCCAAAAACAACTGTCTTTTATTAAAAAATTAAAGTTAATTAAATTAAAACTTTAATGGATACTTTATCATTTTATAATTATCCAATTGAATTTCATGTGTTTAAATTTTATTTGGTACTATAAGATTTAGAAGGTTAATCAGTAAGTAGTTATTATTTCAAGAAATTATCCACTAAAGTGTAAATGGAAATAAATAAATAAATTAACCATAAAATACAGGAATATTAATTAACAATCATATGTTTTTTTTAATTTCAGAATTCTAATATTCATTTAAGTCATTATAAATTATTCATTATGAAAATATTAATTAATAAGAAATTAATATAAAACAGTATTTTATTAAAAGTAATCAGTACCTGATTTTCTTTAGATGTTAGTTAGAATTATGATTTTTCCCAAATTATTAGCAAGTATTAATAAGCTAATTAATAACTAATATACATATATATATATATATATATATATAAGAATAAACTTGTTAATTTAAAGAATAGTCTTGTTTGATTTTAAGATTCTTATCTAATTAACTGGTAATTCGCCTAATCTCTATTAAATTGAGTATTTATCAAAGTGAAAAGAAAAAACAATAAACATGGTGGTATTAATTGACATGTAAAAAAAATTCAATTTGAAAAGAAATAAAGAGTTTAAAAATTTCCCCAAGGAAAATTCAAATTTCAAATTTAGGTTAATAATGTTTAAATTTAATTATTTTTTAAAACCGTTTTGAACCGGTTTAAAATATTTATAACGGTTCGGTTCGCTCTTTTTATAGTTTCTTTATAACGGTTCGGTTACGGTTCAGAAAATTATAACGGTTCATTCCGGTTTGGCGGTTCGGTTCGAAACCCTGCTTGGAACTTAATCCAAAATTTAAATAATCAGAATATTGAAAATCTAGATACTATTCCTACGTGTTCACATTCGAAAGATAACTTAGATGATGATTTTGAAGATTTATTAATGTCGCATGAAAGCCTTAATAAGAATAGTTCTCAGGGCATAGAAAATTATAATAAATGTGTAGAAATAGAGTATATAATTCGGTCATTTGATAATATAGAGAGATTAGAAAAAGATGCAAATCTTTTGAATTATTGGGAAAATGTAAAGAATAGTATGCCAGAACTTTATAAGTTAGCTATGGTTGTGCTAGCAGTTCCAGCTACGCAGGTATCCGTAGAAAGAGCATTTTCTAGCCTTAAGTTTATACTCTCTGCGCAAAGAACTAAATTAAATCCTGAAATATTAGAAAATATTTTAGTTATCCGTTCCAATTCTCTTTTTAAAAATAAATAATATAAATTTCATTATATTTATGTGTTATTTTATTCCTCATTGTATTTGCTCATGTTTGTGTTTATCTTATTTATGAAATAAAAAGAATTGATTTGTCTAATTTATATTTACTAAGTTTAATAAAAATATCTATTAGATTATCATTCATGGTTAAATTAAATAAGAAATTATAAAAAGATTTTTCTCTAAAATTAATATATACATGGTTAATGATTAATTTTTTTTTAAATTAAATTTATAAAAACCGGAACAAACCGAAAAGAACCGTTATAAATTATAAACCGAACCGATATGATTATTTTTTTAAAAACCGAAATGGAACAAAACCTTTATAAAATTTTAAACTAAAAACCGGAACGAACCGAACCGTTATACTAAACGGTTCGAAACCCTGTGTCCAAGTCCATATTAATGGTTAAAAATATTTCCCAAGCCCAGGAAAACCCAAATAATTTATTTTGATCTAGAAAAATAGGTCTGATGTAAGGGGTTTATAAGAATTAAATCTGTCACATTTTTAAATTTTGATATATCTAATACATGCTCACAGTATACATTGCAACAATTTTACCTCTTTTACTCTTAATTTTATATAAAATTTTATTAATAAAGTATATTTAATACCATACATACAAACTAAATAATTACCTTAAACATCTATATAATTAATATTTATATAAAATTTATTAATAAAGTATATTTAATACCATACACACAAACTAAATAATTACCTTAAACATCTATATAATTAATATTTTAAATTTAATTATATTCAAGTTGGTGCATGCGTGAAACTTTAATATATATATAATTAATATTTTAAATTTAGTTATATTCAAGTTGGTGCATGCGATATAATGTTAATTTTTTGCTCTCTACGAGAATCGAACTCGACCCTCCCGTTTCAAAGGTATATGCTTTACTCCTTAAATTTAAAATACATTAGGGAGATACGAAAACGATCGTGTTTTGATTATGGAGTTAAAATTAACATTACACTATATAGTCTCCTTAAATTTAAAATACATTAGGGAGATACGAAAACGATCGTGTTATGATTATGGAGATTATATATATTAGATATCTATTATTTACTTACTTTCTAAATTACACAGCGATGTATTAAGCGAATCGTGTAAATCAAGCCGCCTAACTTCCAAGAGAAAAAAAAGAGGGTTATAAAAAAATTTTCATTTGAGGATACATCACTTTACTTTTTACTAAAACATACCATATTTATTGATAATTTTTTTTATAAAATGAAAAATTAAACAAATACTGTATTAATCTTTATCGTTTAATAATTTTAAAATGCGAAAATTTTAAGATTTAAGAGATTTGCGATAGTGGGTTCTGTGCGTATTGAGAAAAAATAAATGGGGGGGGGGCAGCGGGCTATCCTCTTTATTAATCTTAGACGAAAAGTCGTAATATACTAGAATAGTGAGGCCAGAAACAAAATATCATATGCGCAAACTTACTGAGATAGGTAAGGCTGGAAAGTTGGTATTTTTAAGGATCAGGATGAATTATGGACAAAGGTTCGGGAAAATGTAGTAAATTTAGATATGTTTTATGTTATGAAACTTTAATAATATATTTTTATTTTATATATATATAGAGACCTGTGGGCCCAACTTTAAGCCCGGCTCTTAATTTTTTAAAATATTAATAAATTTTTAAAAAAAATCCAGACCGGGCCATATATTTTAAAACTAAATATTTTAAATCGCCATTATTAGCTCTAAATAATAAATGTAATATATTGTAAAAAATCCGGGTCGGGCCTGAATATATAATACCAGGCCAAAAAAATTTTATAAAAAAATCGTGCCTTGCAAATGGTACCTCTGCAAGTCTCTGTTTTATATTATATTAATTAATATTTGTTTATAATATACGTCATTATTTATAAAATATTTATTTTTTATATTTTAAAATGAATATTGTGAAAATGCGTCTGTTTAGATCTGGACAAATCAGAGGAGACTTCCGCGTGAATATATTTGAAATGAATTGAATTATTAAATTTACATAATTAATAAATATTATGCCGATGAAAGGATAAGAAAGAAAAAGTTAGTGAAATTAAAAGTAACTCAAATAAGTATTTAATGATTAAGAGTTGGATCTGTTGCATTAGGTTGAAAAAACTTTATAATTTAATCTTATCGTTTTTTTATTGTATTAAATATTATAACCATTTTATTTTTTCTCACAGCGACTTGTGTTTTCGAAACTTTATCGAAAAAGAAGAAATAAGCTTTTTTTATATTTAAAAGTGGGAACAAATATAATTCTATAAATTTCAAAAATTTAACATAAATTTCATTATAATTTTAAAACTTCATAAAGTTTCGAAACTTTGTGAATTTTTAAAATAGATTTAGGACACAACCTTAACTAAGATATTAGGAATTTGAATTTTTGTTTAAAAAACAGACCCAAAAATTATCTTTTGTTTATTTTATTATTATATACTTTATTAATATTATCTATATTCATTTTTGACCATTTATTAAATTATTATATATTCAATTGATATGGTTATTATCAGAGTTGTTAAAGTATCTAGATATAAAAATGTGGTATCTGTATCTAGATAGATTTTTGATTAAAATGTCTGTATCTAGATATTATTTTAGACGATGTATCTGTATCTAGATCCATTTAAAAAGAATCTTTTAACAACTCTGGTTATTATAAATAAATAAAGTGCATTGTCAATAACATCTTTTTCCCTGTGAAATTTATGTACAAACCATGGTTATATCAATATTTAACACTAACAAAAAATTAATCATAAACAAGTTTATAGTTAAAATTATTTTAATTATATTAACATTTTTATATAAACTAGAAGTAATATTTATTTATTCATTTAAAATTTAAGTTAAATTAGTAAATTTAAAGTTTATGTGAGATCCGTTACCCTGACTTGGTCAAGTACTATTAATAACAGCTGGATTTAGGTTGATACCCGTTATCTGTATCTGGTATATCTCAAATACGAATAGATATTTTTCTCACTGTCACCTGTCTTCGTTATACATTAACCTTACTTTGCTTGCCAAATTTTGTCAATCGAAAAGGATTGGCCAAAACGTTATTTAATTTGCCATGGAATGATCGGACTAATTTCTAATTCTTCTCATACTTTTTTGTGATTTATTATACACTATATTGACAATAAATAATTTTTACCTCATTTTAAATAACAGAAACCTCAAAAATCTTCTTCTTTTTATCAAAATGAGTTTCTCCGGTTTGGATCTCTCGAAAATCTTAGTCACAACACTACTAGTCATCATTCACTAAATCATTCTTACCACTTAAATAATTCAGGTCATTCAAAATTGGAAGAATTTGGAGAAAATACATCAAGCGATATCATTGATATAGATACATTCCAGGAGACAAATAACTTATCTCCCAGCCCCACTGCAAATTTATATCCAAGGAGAAAATGTTTTTAGTTTTAAAAAAAATCTCAATTAAAGTGGGAGATGTATTATTGTATGCATGTTTTTTATAGCGAATATTTTGTAATATATTTATAGCATTTATTTATATAGTATTAAATTTAGTTAAGGAATATATTATCTTCACATATTCATTATTATTTAAAAAAATAATATTTTATAGGGAATAAATTACAATTATGTATTTTTTCTATCTTTACATTTAATATTAATTTTTTACAATTGCTAATGATATTATGCAGGAGTAAAATGCATATATATATATATAATAATCGGCTAATCGTAATCACAAAAATCTTAACCAGTTTAATATCTTATCTTATATAATGTAATCTATGGTAGGCCTCCAAAGAAGGCAATAGAATAATGGAATATTATTATTCAATTCTATTTTGAATCAAATTATTTTATATACACGAATAACGAGTAATTTGCCAGTTATAAAAACATTTAACCGAATTTTAACCCTATATTTCATGCACTATGTTTAAATAATTTTATTTCACCAAACTAGATTTTTCCTTTCTCTCGATACTATTAATAATTTCATGGCTCACTTTTTTAAAAAAATTCTAAATTTCTTAGAAGAACGGTATGTGTATTAAAATACACATTATGCAATTAAGGAACAAATTTCAATTTTTTCCACAATAATTTTTATTAACTTTATTTAAATACAACAAATGTTTAAACTCTTTAATTTTCATGAAAATCTAAAAAAACAATTATTCTTGGGCGTAAAACATTAATATACACCACATTTTTTGTAGATACTTTTGTTGTAAATAAGCATCCTGGCATTTTACTTCCACTCCACACTTATCATTATATTTGGGCCATTGAGCCGTTAGGCCTTCCTAACCTCTTCATTTGTTAAATATTGGGCCTGTCCTTTTTTACATTTAGCTGAATGTAGGTTTGAAACACCTCGATCTCAACCATTTTAAAAGCTGCGATATCAAGATTTTTTACGAAACAATTACCTATGCATCGAAATTTCGCCCCAATAGATGTCTAAACCTTACTATCTGTGGACTAAATCGCTAAGTTCGAGTAAATTTTTTTTTTATCTAAAATCTAGAGTCAACTATTTTTAAAAATCGGCTATATGAGCTGTTTAACAACACTAGTAAATGTGACTCGTTATATATTTTAAAATCCCTTTCTTATTGAGGGTGATATAAGATCATATATTTATTTTAAAATAATTTGATTTTTTTAAACATTACAAATAAATAAAATTTTAGCTTCCTTTTATAAATTTATTACTACGAAATTATGTATAAAATAAAATTATAATCATAAAATAACCAAATCGAATCGGTTTTTTGAAATTATCGAGCCCTATATTGAATATGCACAACCCTAATTATTTTTCTATATTTCTAATACCAAAGGGTATTGTTAATTTGCTTGGTCGTAAAATTTACGACCCTTGTGCTCGGTCTGCTCCGATCACATCCGGGGTTCAGACCCATGGTTGTTTAGACTCGGGGCTCAGATGAAAAATGTTATTCCAAATAGTTCATATAAAAATTATTTACCAAAAGTTTAGAAACAGCAAAAAGTAATGACATTTTATGGGGTTAGATATAAAGCCCTTCAAGCAACTCAGCTTAGGGTTAAAAAATTTTTAAACGGGACCACCTAGGGCTTAGATATCAAAAAAATAGGATTAAAATGAGTTATTATTTTGGTTAACCGAGCGATTATTTCTAGCTATGCCATACAGTTCAGAATTAGATGCGAACTTTCTGGCCGGATTTGTTTAATTTCATCGCTATTTTAAAACACTTATTGATTTTTTTTCTAATTTTACAAATGTATCATGTATATTTGATAACATTAGTATCTAAATTCGGTATGATTGAGCTTGAATGGGATTTAGAATACTTTTGAATCGGTTTTATTTATGGGGGGGGAGGGGGTTATAAACAAACATGTTTTTGTTCTGCCTATTCTGAAGTCAAAATATATAAAATCTTCTACTTTTGTATATAGTTTATATAAACATAATTTTAATTTATATTAATTTCTTCCAAATTTGAGCCTCATCTTTTTAAGCTCGAAAAGCTAGAGTGATAATTTTTGGCTAAAAAAACTTGGTCTAGCCTATTTTTTAGCAGGCTAGAAATATATATTTGGTTTGAAGAAGGTTTTAATTTAAGTGAAATTTTTGTAAAAAATAATAATGTTTTTCTCAACAATTTCTTTCAAGTTTTTAAAAGTAAATGTGTTATTTTAATTATTTTTGTAAACAAATTATTTTTATCTGAATGGGTTTTAATTTAATCGTCAACATGTTTCATTAAATCATCGCAACACTGAAAAATAATAATTAATAAACTTAACTTCAAAAATATAAAAAAAACGGAAATTTTATTTTTACTTATTCATTTTTAAAATTTTGGTGAAAGTTAAATTTAATAAAAAGATATTTTTTTCTAAAAACATTTTCTATAAAATAACTAAAAAAAATAATAATTAATAAACAACTTCAAAAATAAAAATAAAAACATGCTGATTCTTGAGGATAATTATAGTAAAGTTTAAAAAATAATGTTTTCAAGAGATAATTGTCGATATTATAACTAAGATATAATGTAAAGTTGTCGTTGATATCGAAGAGGGTTAACTATATATAAACTAATATATATGTGAATTTAACATAGTCTGGAAGAGAAAAAATAGCTAGGTTATACTGACTCCAAAAAAGCACCCCAATTTAAACAAACATTTAAATGGTTAGAAAATGAGATTATTAATGTAGAATAAAATAATAAACAAAGCTTTAATTTATAATTAGAATATATAATAAAATTTAAGATTAGCAATGAGATTTATTTTTTCTTAGTTTTCGCATATCTGCCGGGTCTAAATCATGTGTCTGAACCACGGGTCTGTGCTCAGAGTTAGTTTAGTCGATTTTTCCAAACCTCAGGTCTAGGTTTTACACAACCAACCAAATGACACTTCCAAAGGGTGATATTTTTCATGCAAATATTGGAAGGGAGGATCTATCTTGAAGATGCTGCCCTACAACAAATTTGGATTTAGCATATGATATTCTGAGGACATTGTAATCCCCAATAATAATTGTATAGAGATTTCTAATAACACATCGCGATAATAAGATTGAATACGTTTGATATATTTAAGAATTTCAACACCAAAATGAGATTTTTTCCTCATTTATAATATTTAAAAAAATTAATTTAGAACAAAACACAAATACATTTTCCTTTCCGATTTAAAAAATTTACCAATTCAAAAATTGAGTGATTTATTTAAACACACACAAAGGAATTGTCAAAATGCCATCATGCGTTTTTTAAACTACTATTTCCCGAATTGCACAGTGTTACGAAAATATTTCATATAAATAAGCAAACAAATATAAAACCGAGTTTTTAAAATAAATTATAGGTTATTTCATTCTTCTTTCAGTTGTTATCATTATTGATCTATTGGATTTCTTTAATTATATTAGAGAGTAGCTCCTATAATTATCTTTATCATTACCTTGAAGCCAAATAAAAAATGAAAACAATATTTGGGTTTTTTTTGAAGAGGATAAGACAATATGGTGGAAATTAGTATCAAGACTAGACATGTGCGCTGACAGCATTATCGGCGGCGGTGTTTCTTTTTTTAAATAGATCGGCTGGCGGTGGCAAATCGATTTAGACGCCGCCACAAAAATCTGCGGTGGCGTCAAATACTTTTCTAGCTTAAATTTTTTTAATTAAAATTATAAATTCATTAGAAACACTTTTAAAATAAAATTTATGCTTTATTATATTTATAACTATAATTATCATGTTTAAATATTATTTTATTTAGATTTATAGGATATATAATAATGATCTTTTAGAGTTCAGAGTGAGCCCAGCTATAGAATTTTATAGTCAAAACAATAGATTCTTTATTATAAAATTGTTTCCTATATATAGTCTTTTATAATTATGTCATTTAACTTCTATTAGTATGCAATTACATTGACCTCCATAAGATAATATTAAATGTAAGAAAGTTCTAATAATATATAATTCAAATAGCGTTTTTAAAATATATATAAACATTCAAATATAACATATCTTCCTTCCCACCAAGTTAAGATCGTCTATCAATCTTTTTATTACCAAGTTCAAGTTCATCTATTGATTTTTTTGTTGGCTTTTGTTCCCTTGTTGGATAACGTGTTTGCCTTCCTTTTTGACTTGGTTCAATTTGTATTATTGATTTGGTTTCGTCTGGTTCTTCCCTTATTCGTAGTTGATCTTCGTGTTTTCGTACTATTTTATCTTTTTCTTCTACGTTATATGAGAATTTTGCTTGTTGATTTATGATTTTTCCTTCATGCCATCCTTTTTCAAGTGGATTTTTTATCCAAACTAATTCGTTTTATCCAAAATCTTTATGTATGCCTTTGTTTAACTGGTCGTGTTTTACTACAGAGGTTTCTAATTTTTCAGTTATTGATGGTTTCACCCAGTCTAATAAAGTATTTAGTCTTCTCCCCATAAATAGTTTGGCAGGTATTCGGCCCGTTGGGGAATGTTCGGAATTTTTATATGTAACTAATACTTCATTAAGGCATTTTTCCCCATCATTTGTTTGTTCTCTATTAGCAAAATACCGATTTTTTATAGTTTGTATGCATCTTTCACTAATTCGTTACTTCTCGGATGGTATGGTGTAGTATTTATATGTTGTATATTCTTATTTTTGTAGCATTTAAAATTCATTTGAAATGAATTGTGGACCATTGTCTGTGACAATTTGACGTGGAACACCATATCGTGTAAGCCATTTTTCTAATCTATTTATTAAATTTTTACTTGTGGTATCTTTGATTCTATCGATCTCTATCCATTTTGAATATGCATCGATTCCTACCAGCCAATAAAATCCGTCTATTGGTCCGGCAAAATCTAAATATATTCTTTCCCAGGGTTGTGGTGGCGGATTCCATGGGCAGCGTCTACATGAGCGGGAGGGGTAGGAAGAGTTTGCATCCTATTTTTTGAGGTGGGTAGATGGTAGGCTCCTTTAATGGGGGTAGGAT